AGGGTGGGGGGGTCAGGGGTCAGGGGTCGGGGGGCAGTTTGACATCTACAATAGGAGGTCATAGGACAAGTGTGGAACCACTGTTCTACTGGGTCACTTTAAAAACAACAACATCAGCCTTGCTGTCACAGAGTGGCTGCAGGACTCAGGTCAAAGGTCAAACTGCAGTTCAAATAAACGAGAGGGAAAGTACTGCAGTACTAATGTTGGTACCACAAATATTATCCTAACACGTCTGTTTTAACGGGTCTTCCACGGCAGAGACTGTGGTTCCTTCGTGGAAATAGAAGACTTCTGGCTCCCTCTAGTGTCGGTTCTTGACCACTTCCATCAATGGAACTAACTTTTGGGAAATTTTTGTGTTAAAGGCAGATCTGCTGTTGACGGCAGGTGCCCAAAAATAAATTAAATAAATAAATATATATATATAGAGAGAGAGAAAACTCCTGTATGTTCATTCTAAATGGGATGCAGCCCACTACACACATTCACCTGTGACCAGGGTGTCATAAACAGAGGTAGTCTGGTTGTCCTACCTCAGATGTGGCCAGGAGGTGGACTGGACTGGGAGCTGTAGTCTGGTTCTGGTCACAGCTGAGGCCCAGTGAGGTGAGGATCTCTGTCAGAACCTCGTAACGTAGTGAATTAGACAACTTGAGTTCATCGAAGCCATCGGTAGTTAAACTGTCAGGAGATGTTTCCAGGTGGACCTGGAGAGGGAGAACATGGAGAACATGAAGAACATGGAGAACATGGAGAACAAGGAGAACATGGAGAACATGAAGAACATGGAGAACAAGGAGAACATGGAGAACATGGAGAACATGAGGAACATGGAGAACATGAGGAACATGAGAAACCAGTTTCCTCCTTTAACTCAGCAGCATTTTATCATCTTTTTCATAAAGACACCAAAATAGATGTGACCCATATCTGCTGACCCAGATGGGCTACATCCTGAGGACTTTTTATATCTGAGGCAGGATTTGTCACCTGACTCTTTTTGTAAAGCAGACCAACGTTCTAGACTGTTCTGTGGAAACAGGAACAATAAGTTATTCACACATTAATCCTGTGGACCACAGAGATTAGAACAACAACCCTGGTAC